CAGTCTCCCGCCAGCTCTCCATGCCCTGAGTCGGCCCGGGCCCTTGAGAGGAGAGGATGTGAGGGGTTAAGGGACATCCTGCCTTGTCCCTACCCCTCCTGACAGCCCGAGTGGGCCAGGAGGCAGGGAGGCTGGCCAGAAGCTCAGCGCTCAGCCGGCCCCCAGGCCCTGGGCCTCGGCCTCCTCATGTCTAAGATGGAAGGATTAACCTACTGGTTCACTGCGAGGCAAGGTGAGCCACCAGGGCGCATGGGGGGAGCTGAGAGTGACAAGGAGCCAAGCCAGAGGAGGTGAGACCAGGGAAGGAGTTATCAGACCTGACCCTGGCCAGTCGTTCTCGGGAGACCAGCAGCTGGACAGCTGTGCACCCTCAGGCTTTGCAGTACTCAGAGCACGTGCCTGAGAAGGAGGGACGCGGGGAATGGCCTGAGCCTCCTCTGTAGAACCCACAGACCCCACTCTTCCTTCCCATTGTCAGCTAACACAAAAGAGAGAGAGCCAGTGAAACACGTCAGGTACACTCAAGAGCTGAGTGAAGGCGCTGCCCACCCACCCAGACTGGGCATCAGCCACCCCGGAGGCTCCATGAAGGTGTGGATCTGCTCTGCATTTAACTCACCTTCGGTCACAGGAATTTAGAATCAAGCCAATTAGAGGGCACCACAGCTGGTGCCTGTCCGGGCTGCTCTTTCTGATGGACGTCTGTCTGCACACACAGCTTCCTCAAACCCCACCACGTCCTACGAAGCACGTGCCCCGGCAGAGCCCATTTTGCCCATGGGCCTCAGAGACTCAGCATGGGGCCCGGGGAGTGGTCCCTTCTCCACTCCGGCTGGCCAGGCTTCCGGGGCAGATGGCATGCTGTGTGCACCTTCCTACGGAGCCCAGCGCAGTGTTCACTAAGAGCTCAGTATCCATCAGTGACAACAGCGGCACCCCCTGTTTTAGGCAGCTACTTTCCTGCTGTGACTAAAGGATCTGACCAGAACAATTGCAGAGGAGGAAGAGTTTATTTAAGGGCCCACAGTTTCAGAAGTCGGTCCACAGAAGGCCAGCTCCATTCCTCGGGGCTTGAGGTGAGGCTGGACATCCTGGTGGCAGAGTGCGGTGGAGGCAAGCAGCCCGTAGCATGATCAGAAGGAGAGAGAGACGTCTCCCCTTTCCAGATACAAATATACAACCCGAAGCCACGCCCCCAACCCCCCTCCTCCAGCTGCACGGGGCCACTTCAGTTCCCAGCCACTCAGTCCCTATCAGGGGATTGACTCATTGGTTGGGTTAAGGCTCTTGTAACCCACTCATTTCTTCTCTGAACCTTCTTGCATTGCCTCTCATGTGAGCTTTGGGGGGACACGGTATCTAAACCATAACACCCCTCTCTCAAAAAAAAAACAACAACACACACTGGGACCCTTGACACAATGTCCTACAAACCCTGTGATCCTCATGGCTCAAGAGGAGCTGGGTGGGCAGGTGAAGACTGCACATGCCCGTGGGTCAGCGTGGGTTCCAGATGGGCATCCTCACTGACCTGGCATGCCGGTCACCCCAGCCCCTGGCCCGCGGGGGCCAAGGATCCATCAATCAGTCAAGATGTTCCGTGTCTCAGCCTGAATGGACATACTGGGTCTCAAGGGGCCCACGAGGGGCCCACGAGGGGCAGGGCCTGCTGCTGTGACCCTCAGCATGACCCTGTGCCTGTGGGCGTGGAGGAGCCTGGGCAGCGAGCCCTCCCTCTCTCCCTGCCCTGGCCCATGCCCGTGATGCCGGTGCTGCCCCGCGGGGTGGACACAAACGATGACACTGACTTCTTCAGGCCCCCGACGGCTGAGCCCAAGTCTCAGCCACGAACCACAGAATACCGGCTGGGGCTCCCCTCACGGGGCACATCCAGCCTGGGGGGGAGGAAAATCTACTGTGGCCGCAGTCGGGCCTGGGCCGGGTGGCCTGGGCCACTTTGGATGAGTCCTCAGGCCAAGGGACTTCCTGACCAGACTCATGGGACCAGGAAAGTGACAGGAACCAGGAAGACCGCCCAGACCAGAGGGCAGATCCGGAGAGTTTGGGGTCTGGGCGCAGCCAGGCCATGGACGGACCCCTGAGCCTGAGGAGGGGTGCAGAGCCCACCCTCGGCCACACCTGCAGGGTGCCTTTTCCGTTCTCAGTAGCTCCACTGAATTAGGACAGGGAGACGCGCTGGGACTACTCGGATCTCTCGTCCTTTAGAGTGACCTAAATGACAGTCCACAGCCTGCTCGTGACCTTCAGTGAAAGTCAAACTGCTGAAAAAGGATCCTGGGATCCCAGAACCAGAAAGACCAGCTAATTCAGATCCCTATGGAGTAAGACGGTGCTCAAGTCGAAAAATAAATTCCCTTCCTCCCCCTGGGTGCTCCACAGCAGGCACCAGACTGCAAGCCCTGGGCAAGGGGCCCTCTGCTGCATTAACACAGAGGCCTTGGCAACAGGGGGGCCAAGTGCAAGTGAGGACGAGAGGCCAGAGAGGAAACGGGGTCCTGCACCTGTCTGTGCTGAGCCCAGGACTCTGGGGTCTAAGGAAAGTGCCAGTAAAGATGCTCCCATCCCCCAGAGCCCTGGCAGCACTCCACTAGTGTCTGTCCAAAAGCCCTCTGGACTCCTTGTTCAGAATTCCCAGGGAGCACTGACGGGTGACCCTGAGACCCCTCGCCCACGAGCCGTAGGGCTGAGGGCGGGCGCTGCCTGGGGGCTCCAGGACCACCTTAGGATCAGGAACAAGACTCCTCTCTCCCGTCCCTCCTCCCTTTTATTGATAGGGGTCCCCAACTGCAGTGAGGGTGAGAAAAGGGCCCCCCAGGTGAGCACAGGACGGGATCCTGCGCCCCACTCCCCTCCGCAGGTTCTTCTGTCAGCCCTGCTGCTGCAACTGCCATGTGAACTGAGTGGGTCACGGAACACAGATTGCAACGGTCTGTGCCATCAGCAGCTGCCCAGGTTACCAGGGAGAGGCCAGAGCTCCGGACCAGAGCCGTCACAGCTAACAAGGAGTGTGACCTCCATCTGGTCTCAGTACCACCATGACGTCACCACCCACGCCTCACTGGGGTCTCTTGCTCGGCATCTCCAGACATTGGAGCAAAAACCAAGCAAGACCCTGCTGGAAACCACGGATTTCTGCCTTTACCCTCTGGGTATGCGTGCTCCAAGGGGCAGGGCCGTGTTGACCCACCACCACTGAGTCTCTGCGCCCCTCACAGAGCAGCTTTAAGAGTTCAGCCGAGGTCAGAGGGCAGGGTGAGGGTCCCGATCAGATTGCACCTACCCCCTTACAGAAAACGTAGCCGTGTCAGCTCTTCATCACTGTGACCAAACGACCTGGCAAGAACCACTTAGAGAGGGACATGGGTATTTTGGCTCCTGATTTCAGAAGTTCTATCCATGACTGTCCAACTTGATTGCTCTTGGCCCAAGATGAGGCAGAACATCATGGCAGGAGGGGAAGGAAGAGGGGCCAGGAAGGAAAGAGAAAGGGGAAGGGTCTCAGGGAAGATGAACCTTCCAGAGGACACCCGCAGAGACCCACCTCCTCCATGCCCCACCTGCCTACAGCACAACCCACTAAGTCCATTCCAGGTAAGATGGAGTGGCTAGGTGGCAGCCCTCACAATCCAGTCACTTCACCTCCCATCAGCCTTGCATTGATCCAGAAGCTTTTGAGGGACACCTCATACCCAAACCGTAATAGCACCAACAGACCCCAAGGATTGTTTCCTGGGGAATACAGAGCCCAAGGTGTCGACGCTGGGAGTTTCTCAGCAGTGGGAAGCTGTGAGGGCCAAGAAGCAGGCAGGCAGTGGCCAGTGAACCTCCAGACACAACGGCACGTTCCAGACCTAGCCCCAACCTGGGTGAGAACCAGCATTTTTGTGTGTATGCTAGGGAAATTGTACCCCCCTCTGCGTAGTTGTGTGTGTGCAGCATGAGTGCATTTGTGTGTTTGTATGTGTGTATGCATATCTTGTCACCAGTGGATATGTGGAGCTGTGCTGTACACAGGTGTGTGTATGCATGGTGTTGGTATGAGTGTCTGTGTGTGCCATGTGTGTAAGTGGCACATTCAGATTAATATGGCACATCTGCAGAAGCTCAAGTATTTAATTTTTTAAATTAAATACTTGGCTTGCAGACCAACCTCAAGGAGAGAAGATGCAGAACATGGAGACATGGGCACTCCCACGTTCAACCTGTGCAAAGATACACGGTCATGGAGAAGGCTGGGTTTGGAGGAGAGGAGACCACACCCCAGTGGGCACATCTGCCTGTTCCCGGGTCTCTCCTGTGAAAGGGTGACAGTACAGCAGTGTGGCTGCAGAGCCGTCCCTGCCAGGGGGGGCAGAGCCCCCTCTTCTGTACTTGATCTGTCCATTCATAAGGGAGAAACTTGCCCAATTTCTGCTCTTTACGTGCCACTTGTGACCAGTTTTTCCAGACCTACAGATAACCACTTCCTTTCTATTCTTTAAACATCTTGCTTTGGTTACTTAGCAAAGAAACTGTGGAAAACACAATCAGTGTCACGTCCAAAGATAACAGGCATCTGTAGAAATAACACTCGTGAAAATACTCAACAGCACAGTGGATTCTGAGCTCTGGCCCTTTCTCTGCCCGAAGGGACCTCAGCCAGCCCTGCAGAGATGCTCAGAACATCCCAGGACTAAGCCACGGCTTCCCCAGGACAGAGCCATTCACACTGAAGGCCAGTGCGATGGGAGGAACTCTCTCCTGAGTGGCCGCTACTCCAACACGGTGTCCTGGAAACACACACAGGGTACCATGCACACACTTACAAGATTCTTGGAGGTGACTCGTGGCAGGCAGTGGGGAGGGAGCCCCGGTTACCCCCAAGGGCAGTTCCAGGGTTGCTTCCTTCATGCTAGTTCAGAAACGAGCTGCTTGGCACCAAGGTGAGGCTGGAGACCCCGAGAATCTACCTGGGCTGGCCCTGGGCTATGGGACATTACCTGGGTGGGTGCAGCGCATGACAGATGAGCTAGCTCCCCGATCCTGGCTGCAGCGCGGGGGTCGCTGGAGCTGATGAGAACCGGAGCGCTGATTTCCATGGAATGCCTGTGGCTAGCAGCCTGCGAGGATTTGTGCGTCACACTGAGTGCAGTGAAGGAGTGGCGTTTCTTGGCATTCTTCTTGCCGTCCACACGCCGCTGAAAGGCACTGACCGCCCCTGAGCTGCTTAGAGTGGGGCCCGGGGCCATGCTGGCCCCTGCGCCAGGATCAGAGAGCAAGGGAGAGTCACAGCCGGATGCGGTGGCAGCAGCAGCAGTGGGGCACGGCTTGTCCATCTCAATGAGCTGCTTGGCTGAGTCGTTGAGCTGAGCAAGAGGGGAGAACAGAACGGGCTTTAGTAAACAGCTGTCACATGCCACGTCAGGCTTTTCTGCGCTCTCCCCGTCGCCCGCGTTCCCTTACAAACCAAGGATGTGTTCACCTGGGTCAGATCTTTCTCACAGCATCTTTTGGCCCGAGCGGTGCAGGAAAAACAGAAAGAGGCAGGAGTGACATCTGTGGGTTATTGATTTATTTAGTGGGGCTGGGGGCCAAACCCAGAGGCCGTGCAAGATGGGCCAGTATTCTGCCTCTGAGCTACACCCCTTTGCCCACATGGGCAGGTTTACTAAAAAGGTTTCTAGAGCAGCTCAAAGGCCCAGGGAGCCAAGATAGAGGGCAGGTGGCTCCTCAGACATGGGGTGGGGGAGTTTCACAGGGGCCAGGCACCTCCGTGGTCCCAACCTTTTCAATTGACATTTCCAGGACACACATGCAGCAATGCAGAGAGAGAAGGACCAGAGGTCAGGGAAGGAAGGCAGGCCAACCTCACTGAGACCCCGCAGGCCCTGCATTCACCGTGACCGTGGGTTCCTGCCTGCCCTGCAGCTCTGGAGAACTCAAGCCTGTGGTCACACACACTTTCTCATGGGGTGACTAGTGGTGGCCCAGAGCCTGCTCTGGTCAGGGTGAGCCACGGAAGCCCTTTCCAGCGATGACCTCCAATTGACACGGCGGTCACGATCCAGACACTGACCTGAGTTGTAACCCAAGAGGATTCAGAGATGGATTTCCCTGGATGGATTCGGCAAGGATTCAGGACCCCACTCCTTCCCAGGCCCCCCACCCAATCCCAGGCCCCCCACCCAACCTACCATCTAGCAGAGTGGATTCACAGTGGAGCTTGCCTTTGAGGAAAGCCTCATTTTGGGCGGGACACATCTGGAAGTGTGGGATGACAGGTGGAGACCATGAGTCGCCTGTGATTCCCGGGAATGAATCCTCCAGGTGGCTAGGCCAGGCCTCTTTCTGGGCTGGGCCACCTGGGTGGCAGCTGAGTGGGTTGCCTCGCACACCCACTGGTGGCCCTGTCAGTACTGGCTGACCCAGCTGCGTGGGCACCTGGTGCAGCCTGGGGTTAGGTGACGGCTCAGCTCAGTGTCCTGGTCTGGATGTGAGGCGTCCTTCCAGAGCTCTGTTGTCCGTGCAGGCGTGTTCAGAGGTGAGGTGATTCGATGGTGAGAGCTGTGACCTAATCAGCTCATCCTCGCCTGAGCGCACTAACCAAAGGGTAACTGTGGCAGGTGGGGAGTCGCTGGGTAAACCGGGTCCCTGGGGTGTACCCTAGAAGGATTCATCTTCCCTGGGCCTCTTCCCCCTCTCTCTCTCTGCTTCCAGGATGTCACGAGGTAAACAGCTTTCCTCTGCCGTGACCTTCCGCCATGATGCTCTGTCTTGAAAGTGGGTCAGCTGACCACGGACTGCAACGTCTGAACCATGAGCCAGAATAAACTTCTCCTCCTCTAGGGGGTTCTTTCAGCTATTCTGGTCACAGCGGTGAAAAGGCTGACACGCTCACCATCTAGGATCAATCCTGTCCCCTGATTCCCCAACCTGGAGGCCTGACAGGGCCCCCATCTTCTCAGTCTGTCTTTGGCTCCGTCTAAGTTCCCATCTAACAGGGGGTCTACTGTGATTTAAAAGAAAAAAAAGACAGAGAACTATGCACTGCGAGTGCAGGGTGGCCAGGAGGAGAAAGCAACGCTAGGATCTGCGGGGATCATGAGCACAAGGCAGGTTAAGGCAATGCCACGCGCTGGGTAAACGGCGGTGGGATCCATGCTGTCTCCAGCAGCTTTGCAGAAGCAGTCGAAGAGGCTACGTAAACGCCAGCCGGCCCCTGGGGTGGCCGGCCTCCAGGAACACAGAGTTAGATATCAGGGAGCTCTGGACCCCTCTCCGCTTTCTTCTCACGGAACCGGAACCGCGGAGCTCTTCTGGGCCCCCGCCGGGCCGGCATAGCTCGTCTTCCAGGGTGACATCTGGGGCTCGGGACCCACACGTGACGGTGGGCACTACCACAGACGCTCTGCAGAGAGCAAGAACGTGGGCTGCTCCTGTCCAGTGGCTTCTCAGACACCGCCAGAAGGCCGCGGAGGGCAGCCGGAAGCCTTTGTGGGGAAAACAGGGCCCAGCAGAGTCTGGAATTCAGAGGCGAGAGAGGGGCGGGGAGTCCAGGAAAGTCACAAAGTGGGGAAAGATCAAACAGGAAGTGGAGGCCAGTATGGGCCCAGGTGCGGACCCCCAGGTCACCAGCAGGAGCCCTGCCCTCCTCTGGCCCGCTGGACAGGTGGAGACGTGGCGGCTTGTGTCTGTGGTGCCCTCTTCTCTGCGAAGCCCTCTGATGGGACGAGAGGCCAGTGCACCCCCCCCAGGCTCTCACTCCCCTGGGGCAGAGTCCGATGTCAGACTTGGCCTAGGAAAGTCCCCTGAGTCCTGTACCAGGTCTCTCTCGGCAGGAGCTACTCCCTGGCAGCGCCTTGCTGAGCTAAAACAGCCGAAGCTCTGCTAAATCGGCACCTGGAGAAGGGAGAGTCCTCCCCACAGGCCTGGCCCACGGCGCTCTCCCTGGCAGGCGGGCAAGCCGTCACCTGTGCAGCCTGGCTGGCCGTTCCTGCTGCCACCAGACCAGCTCAGGCGGGGGCTGCCCTCATTTCCATTACAAATACCTGCCTCTCAGAGGGAGAGGATGTCTCTCACTCCAGGCTCCAAAACAAAAAAGTGTGATCCCAATCCAGGATAATTTCCTACCAGGAGGCTCAGCTGTTTTGCTCTTCTTTGTGGTATCATTAGTTTGCTTCCTCAGAAGTGCTACTCAAAGAGCAGCTAGGCACCAGTTGCCTCTCCCAGCCCTTGTGGGGCTCCCCGAGTACCGAGGCCTGCACTCCTGGACCCGGAGTTCCCGCTGCTGTTCCGCAGGGCCCAGAGGGACAAGAGAGGCAAGAAGCAGGATGCCTTCCATCCACGGGCATCAGGCATGTGTCACACCACCTCCATGTGTCTCCCTGGCAGAATCGCCTTTCTCCCCAGAGAAGCACAGCTAGCGCTCAGTTGGCCCGTGGCTCTGTGAAGTTGGCATTGGAAAGTTCACTTTCTCATGGATATGCCATAACTTGTGCATGGATATGAGTGATTTCCAGTCTTGGGTAATTAAAAATAAAGCTACTGTGGATAATCATCATAATAAATTCTGTTTTCAGAACCAGGAAATCCAGGCACCAGCAGGTTGGTGCACACACCCAGGAATCCTGGGTCACCATATGAATGATAATATGAATTTCCAGGTTTCTGTTGTCAGCGGTGGCCATGGCAACCAATGGAACTGCTTAGCAGTGCCATATGTCACCTCACGAATAACCACGCTGCACCCCCTGAATGACGGGGAGCTGGGGGAGGGGCAGCCTGCCTTTTCCCTCTTACCCTTAAAAGTCCAGGCCCGTGGTGGGTGCCAGAGTGAAAGCAAATAAACCTCCCCTAAAGCTACGTGGTTTCAAGAACCCAGAGGAGAAATGACGCCTTCTGCCTCCAAGTTCTGGCGCCCTTGACATCCCTGCCACAGGCTTGTGGACTGCCATGGAGGACCCTCAGGAGGGAGAGAGGCACTGAGGGTGGATCCTGCTACTCAACTTGCCGCTGTGACAAGAGGCTTCTTGTTGGAGCCCAGCTGCTTCCTGGGTCTTCCTCCTTCCTGCCACAGGGTCCTTGTTCCAACAGTCGAGAATGGACTGCGTCTGGGGTTCTCATTGGGCATCACGACACAGGACACTAATGGACCATGTGCCCGGGGCTGGCTGGACTGAGACACACACAGTGGACCCCTCAGATTCTGTGAACCCTACGGAATCGGAGACTGCTGATGGCACTCTGTGACTGGGTCCCAGGGCTAAAACTCATGGTCCAGGGCAGCTGGCCTTGTCTTCCTGACACATCTCCATTATCACATTGCAAAGATGGACCTGCGCCTGGTGATCGCCTCAGATGGTGCTCCTGGGCCTCCAGGCGCAGGATACCCCCGTCCACTAGCAGCTGCCCACAGCAGCAGCTCCTGCACGGGCTCTGTGAGGAGCTGCCGTGGTTTTCCACTTTGTCCCATTCCAAGTTGGCACAGAACCACACTACCAACAGGCCGCCCCCTCCGGGAAGCCCAAGGCTGTTCTTTTGCCTTAGCGCCAGGCAGCGGGTATACGGCTCAGTGGCCCAAGAGTCCTGAGAGGGGGGGAGCATGTCAGAGGAGGCTTCCCCCTCCCTCCCTTCACAGCCAGAATGTTCTGTGCGTGGCTGCTCACGGCCGGCTCTGAGGGGCAGAGTGGGAGGTAGAGGATGTCTCCTGAGATTCCACGGGACAGGCTCCTCCGGAAACAACAGGGCTCTGCTCTCAACCTGCACAGGGTCGTGTTTGTCCAGTGGGCACCTCCAGCCCACACAGGCTTGCTCGCGCTCAGACGTAGCCCACACAATCCCCAAAACTCACTGCTGATGTTTTTCTTTTAATGGAAATAGAAGACGTTTTCAACTTCCATATGAGGTAGCAAAACGGTACCAATGACACGTTAAGTCTTGCTGAGTTCATTCACTTCTCGTGAGAACTCTCACTAGCACCAGGACAGGAGGTACCCGTCACAGAGTCTCCCTCTGTGGGTGCCCTCTGTAGGGCCCCGCCCAACCTAAATGATCCTGGGAACACGGTGGGGAGGTTAGCTCAAGTAGATGGGTACAAGGTAGCCAGTAGGGCCAGGATGGTCAGGCCAGGTCTGGAAGACCCCTGTCTGTCAACTGCTGTGGTGTGAATGTGCATGATGGTTTGTGTGTTGGACATTAATCCCAAATTCACATGCTGGTGGTATCTGGAGGTGTGGGGAGTGATTTGGATTAGATGAGGTCCTCAGGATAGGGTTCCCATGATGGCATTAGAGGCTTTATAAGATGAGGAAGAGAGGCCCAAGCTGGCACACTTGCTTTGTCTCTGCCACGTTATGATGCAGCATGA